CCCCACTAGGCACAAACAGTCCCACTGTACTAGGTACTAGAACAGAGTACAAATGGGTATCACAGTCTCACTGTATAACTGGGTATCTCAGTCTCACTGTATAGCAGGGTATCACAGTCTTACTATGTAACTGGTGGTAACTTCTAGGCACGTCTCACTGTATAACTGGGTATCATAGTCTCACTGTATAAATGGGTATCACCGTGGTGGTCTCCACTTGGCACACAGTCCCATTGTACCATAACTCTCAATGGGGCGATGTTGAGTTTTTTTTTAAACGTGATGACTCAAAGATAAAAAAAAAAAAAAAGAACCGCATTACCTGACTTGAAGTGCGTAGTAAAATACGTGATTGTTTCACACCTCAAGATCTCGTGACCTAAGCGATTTCACACTTTCGTGTGAAACATGTGACAGTTTCAGACTTTGAAAATCATGTAAAACAAATTATAGTTTCACACGGGGTTATATGATGAATGCCCAGTTGTAGGACTGTTTGTGTGTGTGTGTGTGGGGGGGGGGGGGGGGGGGAAGGGTGTTTATGGCGATGTGTGTGACTATGGATGTAAAATAGTCTTTAACTCCGCGACCCCCAACCTACATCATTCACCCAATACTAACGGTTCCCCAAACTGATGAGGCAAAATTTGTATCAGATATTTGCAATAATGGTTAAAAAGTGATATTAGTCGTTAATTATCAACAAGATAAGGAGATATTCGTACGTCCAATGTCTCCTTGATGACCACATACCATTCTTGTAAGAATCAACAGATGGTGTATTGTCCAGAAGTGTCCATCCTACCCGCATACACCTGTTATTTTAACCGAAAGTTTACTTTAACGTGGGGAGGTTTCCCATCAAAGTCTAAGCACCAAGGTCGTTCACTTGTTGAATGAGCTCATACGTTAAAGAGGTTGGGTGGGGCGATATCTAATGGGCGACACTCACGATGGGCGTCTACAAGTAGTACGGGGCGTCATTGAGAAAATAAGGAATAAATAATTACAGGACTAAAGTAAAACTGTATAGGTATTAAAAGAAACTCGCACGGTGCACAATTAACTGGAAGGAGGAAAGGGGGGGGGGCATGCGAAATATATGATATACATTAGTATATGATTTTTAAGTCAGATTCTCCGACGGAAATCCATAGGCGGGTAGAGTGGTATAGGGAATAGTATTTGTATTCATTCAAGTCCACTGCGCATCTCGCTGGCTGTACAGTGGTTCTTTACGGTAAGTCGGCCTAGCTATCTGCTATAGATGCCTCGAAGCGTGTGGTATAAAATCTGTACACATCCTGGCATTAGAAGAACTTCCGCTTGTCGCGGAGATCTTGACTAGGATGGCAAGTAGATAAATAAAATGGGGAGATAGAAATAGGAAGGGGGGGGGGGGGTAAAGATATACATGGTGGGGGAGGGGGAGTAAACAGATATTTGTGTCCGGGGTTAAATATGACAAGACCTGAAGAGAATTGTTAATTGTTTACACTCAGTCAACGATAGTAACAGACTAAAAAGTGTACAACTATAGGTGTTTTAGGTCAGTGTACAACTATAGGTGTTTTAGGTCAGTGTAAAACTATAGGTGTTTTAGACCTCTTAAAACAACAGAAGACGTCTCATTATGACAGTCACTAACAACAATAACTGTTGATGCTAAGTTGAAAAGCACAGACGAGAAACACTGAGCTAAAAAATAGGTTATAAACGGATAGAAAGATCAGTCAACCACTGACAGGACCTCCAGCGTGCACGCTACACCAGACAGTGTTCAGGACAAGATACTGCAGTCTTGGCATGGAGCAATCGGGTAATTTGTCATGGACAAATACCTTATGTAGTTCACTAGGTCACGGAGATGTTTTGCATTTTTTGGTATAGACGTTTTTAGTTTGGCTTCGTCGTTGTGACTACAGTGTTTGTAGTTTCAGTCTGTGATTCTACGTTTATAAGGGAAGAAATAAACCACAGTTTTGTTATTGTCTTCTTGGTCATAAATGATAACTATCGAGAAGAAGCCGCCCCTTCCCTCGTGAATGCCTACCTTTAAACCTCGCCACCGTGCTCGGTGCCTACTGTACAGATCTCCCCGTGCTCGCTGGGTGGCATTATGTCTATAATGGAAGGTTTAACTTTTTTTTTCTCTCCCCTGTACTTAAAAAAGGAAGCAGAGTTTTTTTTTAAGTGAATGTCTCAGGCACCGGTTTTATGTAGCACTACCATGACCCCCCCCCCCTCTCCCCCACCCACCCCTCCTGTGCTGTTGATCCACACGTTTAAATCCCGACCCCTGCCGATGGTTTCTGCGTTACTTCTAGAATCTTTCTCTGACCGCTTTCTCTACTGTTAATTTTTTTTTACCTGCCGGAGCCTGCCGAAAACCATTCGTTACAGGTAAAGTGGGGGAGGCAGGGGATGAGAGGGAGTTTCGGAAATGTCAGTGCTATAAATAGAACAAGTTCTACACCTATTCAATAGTTAAAAAAAAATCTCTGATTAAAATACATTAAACACAGAATAAAGAACACCTGTCCCACCTACCCAATCAACAAACTCATTAATGAGGAATTATATATTCACTTGAAGAAGCTTCAGTTTCCTCAGATATGGGATATACAATCCTTTCCAAGCCATGTTTTATGACACTTTGTACACATCACAATAAAATACATTCCTCACATCCAATATATCGTGTACATTTTATTACCCACAATGTCACATCTAGAAAAAGTGAATTTACTGTTTCAAACTAACACGCAACAAAAAACGTTTATATAAAAATAGAAGGTGATGCAAGAAGAACAAGCAGTATCTAACAGAAGAAAAAAAACCCAGCCCGTTACGCTATGTATTACACCAGCGTATCGCCATTGAGAATCAATCCAGGAGAACAGAGCGGATTATCCAGAAAGGTGTACATGGATTTTGGCCTTCACGCAGAAATGGGTGGCCAGATTTAACGGTGACAGATACACGAGAGTTAAGTCTTCACACCGGAGGTAGTAGTCGTACGTTTAACCGGTCTAACTGTGTCAAAGGTTAGATCTTCACATAAGCTGAGACGTAGGTTATTTACACGAGGAAACATTGACGTGGTTAAGGTTAACCGTACAGATGATTTGCACTGGTATAAGAATGTTATTAGCAGTTACTAGTATACATATATCAAGCGGTGGTGCGGTCTTTCCTTGACCGGTTGGTAAAAACTAAAATGAACCAGTCTCTATCGTGTATGGGACTGTCAGTAGTTGTATGTCAGGAAACTGACTAACGTGAATGTAAGTCCTGTAAGGGACACTAATGAGTTGTCAAACAATGACTAACAAACAGGTTTAAATTTAAAAAAAAAAAGAATGTTAGTCGTTTTATTGTTAACTGTCAGTAGTGTAGTGGACCTACTATGACCAATAACACCTATCAGATATGTCAGTGTATAGTACATACAGCAGCAGAATTTAATGTATGGATGAATTTATAAAGAGCATTTACATTAAATACAATCTTTAGATGGCATTGCATTGAGCGTAAATTTAAACTGTAATTCAACAGGTAGAAGTTTAAGGCAAAGAAAAGGAGTTAAAATTAAAGTCTTCATTTATTTTTAATCTTTTTGTGAACCATTAGCTTTTGTTTGATTATTTAAAACAAAACCATGAGTGACAGACTGAAACAGATGAACCCGTCTATATCTGCTTGGTAATTTTCACAAGCGTAAGTACACACAGCCCAAATTAAAATAACACATGACTATTTCTAATAAACTAGTTGTTGAATGATTCGCCTGATGTATGGTAGCAACATTGGGGACCTATCACACATCGCGTAAACAACAGCAGGCAAATTATTCAAGAAAATAGTTCTAAACCTAACCCTAACCACAGTAGTAATCTACTGAGAGAACCCCATATCAACAAAGAGAACATTACGAAGACTTGGTTTTCTAATTCTATAATATTGTCAAGAACTTCGATTTTTTTATTGAAACAAAGTATTAACATTAATATTAAAAGGTAGGGTTAATTAAGTTAATATTAAACAACACCGTTACATGCAGTTTACATCTTTTATCTCGAAATAGTAGGGGGGAGATGAAATTCTGTCAGGAAAAAAACGCGACTGCAATATTAATCCCCGAGTCAACCTATCACAGCAGCCGAGATATCGATTATCAGAAATTATCATACTAATTCCCAAGTTTAGTGTCCGCCAAGCTTTTTAAAAGTGAGACTCCACCGAAGGAGAGCCTGCGCAAAGCTTTATGGGAAATGCCATTGATAAACCTTGCAACGTTCATTACTACATTAAAACTCAAACGTTAAAAAAAAATATTTCCCCCTTCTTCTTTTCTCTGTTCAGTTAGGCCTGGCAACCCTTCCCTCCCCTTTCCGCGTACGTTCCAATAATAGTACGGGACCACACACGGGCAACGTTTCTGGGTCACAATATGGCCGGCGTCCTACCGGGGGAGAGCTACTGTGTTATAGCATGTTTTCGGGGCGAATTCGGCAACAGTTTGAAATTTTAAAAAACCAGACAACAATGAATGGATAATAAAATAGTAATTTGGATTAAATGCTACAAAATGTTTTTATAAATTATCTAAGAAGGATTTTTAAATATATTTTAAAAACGTTATGGAGGGCCTGTAACACCTAACTGAAATTATATTTTAGTTTTAGTTATGACAGCATAAAGTAACTTTTAACTTAGCTAAATGGAGTTATATTGTCTTAAATTTTATTTTAGCGAGAGAAAAAAAATAGCACTCCATTTATAAATTCAGTAGCAAAAAATATAAGTATGTTGGCCCTGTTACATGAAAATTAACTAGGAACAAAGAATGATTGACAATAGTAAACAAAGACCAACAGTTTATTAGCTTTAACGTAATGTTTGAATTCTATCATGCTTATTACACCCATAACTTCTTAAAATAATATGTTGATAAAAATCAGAGTTCCAATTCATAAACAAAGCGATAAGGCACTCACCCTCGACCCAGAGCTCGTCCACGTTGGTCTCGAGGTGTCCAGTTTTTAATCCAACACAGCACAGAGACAACAATAATAATCCCAAGAACGTCACTTTCCCGCAGTGGAGCTGCAATATGCAGCCGATACTGTACAGATATTTTTGTATGTGTAGTCTCAGCCAGAGAGCACATGTGTTCCCATCCGCACGACCCTGGGGAAGGTAAGTTCACAACACACTGTGTTTACTGGCGTAAGGCAAGCAGCGAGCAGTCTTAGCCTCAGTACTCAGGCTTTTAACTCTTTATATTTATCACAAAACGTATTTTAATGGAATAGAAATATAGTTAAGTCTAACTTTTAGAAATTTAAATCTAAAAGAATTTACAACTTTTAGATTTACTGGGCTTAAGAATGTGTGAGAAACAACACACTAGTTCAAATGTGTTGCTAGATCCTTTACTAAAATATTTTAGGCCCTATACAAGTGACTAGGTTGGAGTATAAATGTTGGTTCGAATAAGGATCTAATTCAAATAATTACACGAAGAATACTGTGTAAATTAGGGTTGTAAACATTAGTAAATAAACTTGGGAACGCTGAATTCAAAATGAAAATATTGGTTTGGATTAATTCCAATGAGTCTAGTCTAATTAATTTATAAAATAATAATAATTAAGAAATGTCAGAATGCTGAGTGATATTTAAGGTGTAACTAGATGTGAGTTTATTTATTAAAAAATCTCCGTGTGTAGGCTAATCCGGAGGTTAAACCGGTACTCACCCTTTTAACCTGTCGATAGGCTAACTCGGCGTTAATCCAACTCGTTCTGGTCAGTAGTTCGGGGTCGGTCTTGGAAGGGTCAGTCCTTCTAGAGCGGTGGGACATACTTCTAGCCTCAGGGCCCCCCGATTTTCATCAGGGCTGAAGTATTCTCACAATCACATTCATTCACCATAGGCGAGCACATGAAGAAAAAAAAAAACAACAAACCGCCACACACAAGTTAGAAGATGGAGCCGGATACTTCGCTCTCGCTATCCAGGTCTGGGGTATTTCAAACGAGCACGTGTGGAGGGCAGTAATTCCATTGTGTTTGCGTACACTACATGACGAGTTAGAAAATCCAGAACACACGAAAATTTCATTAGAAATCATTCAAGAAAGTACACCACAACACAGGTTCCCCTCTCAAACTCTGGCCATCTACGCGTTTCAAGTTGAATACATGAACTACGGTGCTCCGATTCAGTTTTGCCTCCTTCAATTTGCATGCCGGCTCCGCCCCTTGCCCTACTGCGACGTGATTGATGCTGAGCAGATCGCGGCGCTGATTGGTCAATTATCTATAGGATTGCTCGTGTAACACCGGCCCAACATTAGTTGCCTAGCAACGGCTCCCCCAAGTAGAGGGACCACCCAAGAGGAGAACAGAAAGGGCCAAAGAAACCTCCACCACGGGGAGGGTGAAGACACTATCTTGCTGCTGTATTCTCAGCAACGATATTCACATATTTTTTTTTTACCGTTTTAACCCTCGGGGTTTAAAGGCCTGTCAAACGAGACGGTGGATGTGTAGAAACTCTAGCCACAGTCACAAACCGAACTTTACCGAGGGCCCTCTTCTCGCCACTCTGGTGAAAATATTGTTTACAGCCAAAAACGTAAACAAAAAGTTTAGATTTTTTGTGTATGTTCGAATTACCATCTATCGAGCCGGGGATCAGGTACTCTGGGGGTCGAACAGTTAACGAACAAATTCTAATCATAAGTTTAAAAAAAACAACAACGTTTAGCAAGGAATTTTAAGTAGAAAGCAAAGAAAGCAGGTTTTCATAAGCACAAGATAAAGATAATTGAAAGTGATTACGATCGCAAGGGCGGGCGGATATTGTATCAACAATATTTAATTAGATGGATTAGGCTTGGTTAGGGGTGGTCTAAATCGGCGAAAGACAAAACGTAGCTAAACAACAGTACACGATTCTCGTGTGGAACCAAGTTTAAATTCTAAGCATAAAAAAATCCAGCCTTAAAGTTTTAAAGTCTACATCAGGGGTCTCCAAACTTTTCAGCCGGAGGGCCGCATTAACTATCAAATATAAGTTCGGGGGCCAGAGTTTCTTCCAGACATCTCATTGGGGTGGCATTTTTCCGCAGCCACCTACAACAAACATTTTTTTCCGTGGACAAAAAGATCTCCGAGGGCCGGATGAGAGAACCTCGCGGGCCGCATTCGGCCCGCGGGCCGTAGTTTGGAGACCCCTGGTCTACATGCTTAGTGTGAATTACGGCATAGAAAATTATCTTTTGAAAGCAAATGTAAAAGTTGTTTTTCTCCTTAATATCGGCAATCTACATAATAATATAATGGTACCCCCCCCCCCCCGAAAAAAAGTAAAATAAAAATAAAAGATTAGTTTAGTCAACGAAATTGTTAACTAGACTTTCAGATCTAGTTACGTAAAATCATAGCATTTTAACATTCCTAGCCTTATATTTTGAAGTAAATTTAAATTCTTTTTTTTTTTTTTACACCAGTCTAGCAGACGATATTCATTGAGATTTTAGCTGTAAATTATTATAACTATGCTATTCATCAACTCGCGTTTTAAGCAGTAGATCAAATATATTTAACATTAGATATTTGTTCAATATTATTTTAAAAAAAACAACAACTTTATTTTGTTTTTAAAGTTGAATAAAAGTGTTTGAATTTTTCTAAATAAAAGTATACGACTTATACTCCAGGTTCGCATTGCTCCAAGGGAAACCACCGATATAAATACAAAATATTTACTTGCATGGGAAACAACCGGTAAAATATGTTTCTTACAAGGGAAAAAAGGCTTCTTTTCCTAAATTATTCAATGCAATTTTCTGAATATAAAATCTTGTAAAACATAAAACCGTCTTCTGTTATTTGCATGACCACTACTATTTTGTTTAACTAAGGCTAAAAAAGAAATATGATTTACAATATTTATATGCAACTTGTAATACTTTTAATTTCTTCCTCCTTTGCTCTTATTTAATGTGATTTCAATGCTTAAACATATACTCCACCCTCAAGCACCACCTCCTCTAATTTTTTTATACACTTACAAAAAATAAGAAAAACAGTCTCCCTACTGCAGACGATCTGGTCCAGAAATTAATTAAAGTACTCAGGACACCTCACGTGCTAACTGACCAGACTGAGCTGCAAAAGTGTAGCGGGAGCTCGTTGTGGACGTCTGCGACGCATCTTCGAACTCTAGAGCAAATACTTGGGTTGTCTTCAACTTCCTACTCAGTCGTGGTGTCTAGACCCCCACCCCTCACACACACACACTGAGTCGCATGAAGTTTCAACCTCCTACCGAGTCGGTGGTTTGTCTATAACCCATTTCAAAGGTCATCATCTAGATAAACTAATTTTATTTACAGATAACTAATCGATTGATTGAGTATTTCTCATCCTGGCCAACCAGTCGACTCTCCTATTTCACTCCCTCCCCATCCATATAAACACATGCTTCAAGCGCCGCCCTGATATCAATTACAAATTAACTTTCCGGGACCCGACGATTATATCAGCCCCCACCCCCCCCCCACCCCCGCACCATTGTCTACACTACCTACATTAATAATCCCACCCACGCGACGTATTCCTGATTCGGAATTCCTTCACCTCACTCGTATTTCCCTCACCCTCGCCTTCTGTCTCGACATGTTCACTGTGGCGTTTCTACCTCGTCGCTCTTACTCTCTATCCCTTCGCCCCATCTACTTTCTGTGCACACTCCCCTGTAAACTCACCAAACCTCCCTCCCACCGCTAACTCTTAATTCCGTTGTTTACTTTCTCTCCATCGCATCTGCCTTTCACCCCACCTTTTACTTCTGCACATCTGTTCTCTCTATCTACCTTGTATACGTTCTCTTTACCCCCCCCCCCCCCTTTTGTAAACCTGTACTTACTCTTTCCCCCAATTCTTCCCCTTCTCGTAAACCTGAACATGCTACCCTAAACAAACCCCGTACCTGTAAACCCCACCTAACACATACACCTGAACATGCTCCACAACCCAACCCTCTCATATACCTCCTACATATTCGCTTCAACAGACCCCAACCAAACCCCCTCCCTTATACCCCCCCCCCCCCCCCCGCATGTCTCCCCCAAACACTTCCTCCCCTATAACCCCCTCAAACGCCCTTTACAGACCCCAACAAAGTCAATCCTAATACTTCAACCCCCACGTTTATGCCGTTCTCCCCCAACCACTTCCTCCCTTAACCCCCCCTCCCGCCCCTCACACCTATACTCGTAACAGCCACAAACCCAAACCTCTCGTATACTCCTCCCCCCACCCACTTCCGCCTAAACCAATTCCCCAACCATTCCCTTATACTATCCCCACACATATCCGTCAAAAACGACTCCCGGAACCCCTCTCGTATACTCACCCACCTTTCACATCCGCCTAAACCAACCGGCTCCTCCAACCACCCCTCCCATATACACCCCTCCCCCTCACATTCACCGAAACTGGCTTCCCCACCCCTACCATATACTCCCCCACACATCCGTCTAAACTGGCTTCCCCCTACCCCTCCCATATACTCCCCCCACACATCCGTCTAAACTGGCTCCCCCACCTCTCCCATATACTCCCCACACATCCGTCTAAACTGGCTCCCCCATCCCTCCCATATACTCCCCCACACATCCGTCTAAACTGGCTCCCCCACCCCTCGTATATACTCCCCCCCACACATCCGTCTAAACTGGCTCCCCTCACCCCTCCCATATACACCCCTCCCCCTCACATTCACCGAAACTGGCTCCCCCACCCCTCCCATATACTCCCCACACATCCGTCTAAACTGGCTCCCCCACCCCTCGTATATACTACCCCCACACATCCGTCTAAACTGGCTCCCCCACCCCTCCCATAGACTCCCCCTCCCCCTCACATCCGTCTAAACTGGCTCCCCCACCCCTCCCATAGACTCCCCCTCCCCCTCACATCCGTCTAAACTGGCTCCCCCACCCCTACCATATACTCCCCCACACATCCGTCTAAACTTGCTCCCCCAACCACCCCAGCCACCCCTCCCATAGACTCCCCCTCCCCCACACATCCGTCTAAACTGGCTCCCCACTCTGGCCTAATCAGACAATCACCCAATGTTTACAACACTCACACTGAGCACCACGTCACGGCCACCCAAGTTGCCAGATTTTTCCACTTTTATTTACGCTGCTAAAAACTTTTCTTCCCAACCCCGATCCATCTTACCCCCTCCCCATTTCATTATAAACCTATCATTTAAGACAATTATTGCGAAAAAAATGCTAAAACCACTAGGGTTTAATCCACTTTTAATGCTGACCCATTACGCTTTAATTGCTTAATGAAAGTTAATGTAGACCTACATTTTCCCCTTGGCAGCTAAAAATACTACTTTCGTTTAATATTACACGAAATTGTAAGGAAAAAAAAATAAACAGACGCAAACTAATTGTTAACTTAAATCAGACATTAAAAGGCAATATAACATAAATACACCTAATTAAAAGAAAAACATCAATCAACATGAACGACAAACACTATAATTTTATTGATAAACGTTAAAAGGGGAAGTAAAACAAGCCAAGGGAGCTAATCAAATTGTTATCGTTGGCACAGCGGTATTTGATCAGAGAAGCAGTGGCACGATTTTATAGTTTCGGTGCGTAGCGCAGACGTGCTGTGTGCAGACAGCGGGGAGTATTGTTAGTGTTGACGTTGGTGATCGCGGGAAAACAAAACACAACAAAACAAAAATAGCTACCGAATTTACTTAATTTAAGAAGAACTAAACTTAAACAGTGGCCGAAAGGGAGGTCGCACAACGAAATATTTGGATAAACTAATAAAAGAGTGACCCGAGGCAGGCATGTATATCCAACAAATTCATAGGATGAACTAAATTTGGGCCAAAAAAAAAAAAAGAGTATTCAACAAATTCATCGAATAAACTAAAATGTGGCTGTCCAATGAATGCAGTGAATGAACTAAAATGTGGCCACCCAACGAATGCAGTGAATGAACTAAAATGTGGCCACCCAACGAATGCAGTGAATGAACTAAAATGTGGCCACCCAACGAATGCAGTGAATGAACTAAAATGTGGCCACCCAACGAATGCAGTGAATGAACTAAAATGTGGCCACCC